ATCATTTGATTTCTAAGTGTTGGAATGGTGAACGCAGTATTTGACAAAGGACAATCTCTTCTTGTTTGGTAATTTCAATTCCGATTATTCAATCATGGCCGAAATTAAATATATTGGGCATCACGTTTTAGATTTCTTGTTCAGGTGAGTACTGTAAATATTTTGTGATTAGTATAACAAATTTAATTCCTTCACTTTCTTACATCAATATAAATTTATGATTTGGGTAAAAAATTGAGCATTTAGCCCTTCATGAGAGAAATCTTTGATCTTATCTATGGAAATTTAGTTATGACACCAGTTAGTGTGTTGATCTTGTATCATTCACTACCTTAATTAATAGTAATGAGGGTTTTGACTCAGTTTAAAACCTTCTTTCAAGTGATTGAAGCAACAGTCATAAATGATTTGAAGTTCATCTTGCTTGAGGCAAGGAACCTATAAAACCTTTGCTCTTGTTTCTGTTAAGATGACAGATTCGAGTGAGCCTCAGTATCCAGGAAAAGAACAGAACCTCAACAATCTGAACAAGGTAAAATTTGTTCCATTTTTTATTCTTTTTAAAGGTGTATATGTATATTTACTTATATAGTTAACTCTTTGGTTTTTCAGTCTGCAATATCTTTAGGAAGCCAACAAAGGGCAAAAACATAATGAAAAGGACAATAAATGAAGATAAGTTGAAGATGAAGATTCCAGAAATGGCACATCTCTGTTGCACAATCAGAAAAAGGCTTTGAAGCCTGACAATATGTTATGCTTTTCAATTGGATCCTCCAGGGGTGCTGCTTTCACTGAATCAAATACAGAATCTGACAAACCGATTTTTCAATTTGAGTCTTCGGAGGAAATTCAAGTTCAAAATGATAGCAGAGCTACAGCAACCTTAGAAACTGAGACTGAGTTTACAAAAGATGCTCGCGCTATATGTGAAAAAGTTCTTAAACGAGCAGAGGAGGCTTTGAAGGGAAAACATACAAGCTCTGGAGGAGAGAAGTTGTATAAAGGAATGCATGGCTATGTGGATCATAAGGCTGGGTTTCAAAGAGAGCAAACAGTTGCCAGCGAGAAAGCTGGTGGCTCACATGGACCTCCTCGGGCTTCTGCCCGCATCAGGGTTTCAGCAAGATTTAATTATCAGCCTGACATCTGTAAAGACTACAAAGAAACTGGTTACTGTGGTTATGGAGATTCATGTAAGTATATGCATGATTGTGGTGATTACAAGTCTGGATGGCAGTTAGAGAAGGACAGGGAAGAAGCAGAGAAAGCAAGGAAGAGAAATCTGGCTTTGGGTGGCGATGGTGATGATTAGGCAGGGGTAGACCAGAGTGATGATGACAATGATGATTCGTTGCCCTTTGCATGTTTTATTTGCCTGCAGCCTTCTGTGGATCCTGTTGTTACTAAGTGCAAGCACTACTTCTGTGAGCAGTGTGCTTTGAAGGTACCCACATATGCCTTTCCTTGTAGATTAATTTTTTTAATGTCTTTTTTGTGCTAGGTTAATATCTATTAGTTTTTGTTTCGTTTGTTGTTAATGCAATACTTAGATGCAAAACTTTTTTGGTTACTTGCATGCAAAGAATATTTTATGTGAACCAACTGTTTTTCAGCTATAGAAATAGGACATATTTTAACTTTACATCATCAACTTTTGGTGCCTCATGTCAGTATAGTTTACATTTTTATTCTCATTCCAACGTACAATAACCAACTGCATCTTTTGGTCTTTCAGCATCACACAAAGAATAAGAAATGCTTTGTATGCAACTAACCCACCCTTGGCATTTTCAATACTGCTCATGAGATAAGTATCCATTGTTGCTTTGCTTCAACTCCTGCTGCTGTGAACACTTTTATTTCTTTGTTTAGTATTGTAGGGGAAGATTCACTTGTCTGAATACCTGATCAAACGGTATCATTTCTCTGATTGAGCTTGGGGCAATTTTGGAATGATGAGCTCTTTAAAATCATTGTTGCTGCAGGCATGTGCATTAGTATTTAGGTCAGCATTTTTTCTGCGTCATTCCACAACTGACTTATGAGTTGAGTGATTGTATTAAGCAGAGTAAGTTTTAGGTTTTTACATGAAGTTCCAAGAATTGTCGAAAACAATTGAATGAGTAGACAATTGTAAAACTTGTGATTTATGTACAAAATTGGCGATCCTAATCTGCCAACAAACCCTATTGCTGCCTTTAACCCATGAAGTAGCATTTCTTCTACCTAGAGATAGCAGTACAATCCAGTATTAACTTTCCAAGAATCAGCATCCAACTTCACAACCTTTGTAACGGCCAAGAATTCAGCTTGATCAGATCAGAATCCAGGTCTCGATGACACATACTGGTAGGATCTAGGATGTTACTTCAAAGAGTTTAAGAATGTTGGATTGCAGGTAGCTTCAATTGGGTAGGGACGGCTAATGGAAGCTGTGATTTTTGTGCTGTCCAAGTCCAAAGCATAGAAAACATTACTGATCAGTTTTCTTACTGGAAAAATACGGTTCCTGCATTAAAAAAAAAAAAAGGTGAAATTAGCTAGCAAGCCTAAACTTAAACACAAGAAATAGTAATGTTTTTTGTTTTCTTTTTTCCCTCTAAAATTTTCATTTTTAGAATGAGTTTTTGTTTTCTTTTTTCCCCTTTAAAATTTTCAAATGACTGAATTCATAAGAATAAAGTATTTTTCTAGTTGATACTTACATTTCTAGTTAGAGAAGGATTCACATGAGCAAGAACTGAGGACTGCATGAGGACAGTTGTAGGAGAAAGCCTCTAGCGGCAAAATCTTCATATATGCATGATCACTCTATCCAATGTGGCTTTTGTCAACCCCAAAGTCATCAGATATCTTTTTACCTGCACCAATCTTCTAAACATAAATTCTGAGCTAATACTCAAAATAGGCTAAATGTCAGAAGGCTTGACAACCTTCCTAGTTTACAGCATATAGCTGACTACTAGAGAAAAAACTACCTATACCCGTGATTGAAACATAGCATGTCTTAACTTCATCTTTTAATTATGGATTAGTGGCTATATCAGAACACTTAGCACATTAATGTGAATATTGGCTATTTAGTTATGATGCTTTATTTCTATTAGATAGAGAATAAGTTAACTGAAAGGATTCACTGGAATTCTAGAGAAGTGAGTATATATAAGTTACTGAATGTATTGCCCTCATGTTTTTGTTTAGTCAAGGTCTGTTCTACATGCTAATCAATTATATAGCAATAGAGCTTACAACAAACCATTTGTTTTGTGGGAATGCTGAAGCATAGAAACAAAGGATGATATGGAATTAAAGTTGAAGAAAATAATAAAGGAAATATTTCAATCTTTCTCGCCATGATCAAATCTATAGTTGTTAGGAACAATAGAATACTATCGAAGTTAGTTTGGAATTGTCGACCTTGATACCTGGAACTGGAAGCTTTGTTCTTTTCTTTTCGTTGTTTTTTTCTTTGTGGTGATGTAGCAGTTAATACAGGAATAAGGCATCTTAGCTTGAGCTTGGTCTGTGAAGATTTTTCTGTGTTAGGAGATGCAACTTCTAGTTTTGGCAGTTAAAGTGGTAGGCGTAGTCATTGTTGTACATGCCATGGCTTATATCAAATTCCTGCACTGCAAATAGTTGAGTTGAATAATTGATATTGTTGATGTAATTACTGGTCTGATAGTCGAAAGTTCTACTGGAGGTTGAGAGTTTGTGTGACCTGTCACAGAGTAGAAAGTCAGCATGCCGAAAATGTTATTTTGAGACATTCTCCGATGCTCAAGTTAAGTTAGTAAGGTATACCAGAAGCAAGTAAATAAGAGAGTAAGAAGCAGTTAAAAATAGTAAAGAGAGTTCAGTAGTGAATCACCTGTCTGGTCTGGTTCTACGTTTTATACCTCTTAGACGAGGACTTGGCAAACTAGGTTTTCGTGTGTACGATGTGGCTCCTGACATGATCACTTAGGTATAATAATAATGAAGAGCTTAAAAGATGGTAAGATCTTCGTCAAGAATTTCTTTGGATAAATGATTTTTATTAACCCAAAGAAAGCAGTAGACTTGCTACAAGTAAACAGTAAGTTATCAAAACGTTACAAATTCCAAGAACAATCAAACTTTTTCAAAGTAATCAAACTAAGCAACATTAAGGAACCGGTCCCCAATCCAGACACTTTTTTCTTTTGCTAAGCCGGATATTGTTAATAAAAACAGAGTTACACAATAGGGTGAACAACAGGGGAACCTCATAACTCAGCAGTAAAACACCACCCCATAGACAGAACAGAAGACAAGCACAATACAACCAGACATACTGCCAATCATCTTAGGTGAGCAGAAGAGAAAGAACTGAGACACAAGTACTGTAACACCAAGCCAAAAACATTCAGACACAATTTCTCTTGTTGAAGAGGAAGAGTGGCACTGGAGACCGCAATCCTGTTATTGAACTAAGCCAAAAGGAACTTCTGATAGTTGAAACAATAGCTTCTATATCTTTAGATGGCCTGCCAAACTTCCTTTGGTTGTGCTCCTGCCAAATAAAATATATATGAACATCCCAAGCCAATCTAATTAAGGACAATAGATGCCAAAGCTTTGCTTTGCTCTTAAGATGGCTGACAGCTCAATCTAACTCAAAATGCCAGTCACCCGCGCCTTTTACAAAATACTAACTTGGAAACTCATTATTGTTATTTATAAATTGAGGTTAGGAATTCAAAGGACATATCCTAGTTTGCAGGCAATTTTTGTTTTTAGTTTTAAAAGCAACGCCAAGTTTAAAAAGGAGTTGAAACCTTTTTGAATTAAATTTCAAGTGCAATTACTTTAGTTAAATATTAATTAGTATATATATATAATATAGATATCACACTTATAATGCAAGAGGGTATTTAAATAATTTTATTTGAGCAATTATCTACAGCTCAAAAAATCAAAAAGAACACTTTTGCGTTATTAAGTATTCTAGAATGTTTACCAAGTGACTTTGACACTTGAATTCTGATGAAGTCACCTAGAAGATCTTCTCCATTTTCGATTCCGGTTCCATGTAAACCTATCCATCCATTTGTTTCCCATTTCATTCAGCACTGTATATCCAACAGATAACCCAATCACCAAACCACATCCATACCCAATCAATACGATTTTCCAATCAGATATACCTTCTACCCATGAATCTCCATCTTCCTTAGAGGGTGGCATTCCAAGACCAACTTCATTGCATTTCCTTGTCAAAGGCGGCCCACACAACCTTGGGTTCCCTTTGTAAGAATCGCTTGAAAATGTATTGAATTGGTAGCTCTCTGGTATGCTTCCCTCAAGTTGGTTGTAAGAGACATTCAATACTGCAAGAAAAGTTAGGCTTGTAAGCTGTAGAGGAATCTTTCCGGAGAGTTTGTTCTGGGAGAGGTCCAACGACTCAAGCTCAGTTAAGTTTCCAAGTGCTAAAGGAATTGGCCCAAGGAAGCCGTTATGGGACAAGTTTAGCACTATCAGTGACTTGAGGTTTTGTATTTCTTCCGGTATTTTCCCACGGAAACTATTATTGGAAAGGTCAAGACAAACAAAGATGGTTAAAATTTTCTCGTAAAAAAGTTCTAACCCTTTAGTTACAATTGTCACAGAGTCCTGGTAGTAATCATCTCCAATATAATCTGGCTTAGCTTTGTTGCCATCAATCATCATCTTCATTGCCTTCAAAGATTGAAAAAATCCAACAGGTAACTCACCTGAAAAGTTATTAGAAGCAAGGTCCAGTATGTGTAACTCTCGAAAAGCATTTTCATCCTCAAAAATTTTAATCGGGCCATAAAATCTATTTGCTCTTAGTACAAGAACCTTTAAAGAAAGCAATTTCACCAACCAAAAGGGAAATGTGTCTTGTATCATATTTTTTCCAACGTCCAAAACTTCAAGCTTTTTGCAATTGGCTAATGACCTCGGCAACTTTCCTTCCAGTTTATTCCCACCAATTTTGAGTGACCTTAGTTGAGGGGCTTGAAAGAATTCAGTTGGTAATTGACCAGAAAAATTATTGAAAGCAATGTCTAGTACATCCAAGTCTTGAAAATAATTTTTCACATGTTTAATTGGACCATAAAACCTATTTGCTTGCAATACAAGGACCGTCAAAGCAGGCAATTTTCCCAACCACAAAGGGAATGAGTCGTACAAAGCATTGTTTCCAAGGTTTAAAACTTGAAGGATTGTGCAATTGGCTAATGACCTTGGCAACTTCCCTTCCAATTTATTGTCATTGAGCTGTAGCCAATATAATTGGGTTGCTTTTGCAAAATCTGGTAGGCTGCCGCTGAAATTATTTTTTTGTAGATCCAAAGAGCTGAGAGAACTGATATTGCCCAAGCAACTTGGGATTGGCCCGCTTAATTTGTTAAAGGATGCATTAAAGGTCACAAGTTGACTCAAATTGCAAATAGGTCTTGATAAAGAGCGTTGTGAAGAAGTTAGAGATTGGTTTAGTGAAAATTGGTCCAAAGAAGAGAGAGAATTGTTAGAAAGATCCAGATACCGCAAACTTTTCTTCCACACCCAGTTTGGTACTACACCACTTATTTTGTTATTTGAAAGGTCAAGATTTTTTAAACTAGTTTGACTCTTTAAAAACTCTGGAAACATACTTAGGTTACAGAATCGTAAACCCAAGTAACTCAACATTGGAAAAGAGGAGTTTGCATCACCAAAAGGAAACTCTTTTGAAAAATCAATCGCATTGAAAGAAAGGTCTAACCTCAAAAGAGTGGTCTTCCACAACCAATTCGGCACAAAACCATGGATTTGGTTGTTAGAAAGATCTAGAGAAGCCAACTTGCCTTGTGTTTTGATGAATTCTGAAAATTCAGTAAAGTTGCATGAACTTAGGTATAGCTTCTCTAATTGGGGAAAAGCGAGGCTTGTGATGTCGCTTTCAATTGATAAGCTCGTATTGGAAAGGTCAAGACCCCTTAAGTTCTTGAGTTGGGAGAACATGTCAAGCTTCACGGAGCTAAAGCTATTGTAGCCTAAATACAATGCTTCAATCAATGAAGAAGATGCGTTGGGGAACTCACCAATTTCACCAATCAATTGATTTTCACTAAGATCCAAGGCCTTCAATGATGGGAGAGTAAATACAGAAGAATGTATTGATCCAGAGAGGTGGTTCCTCCACAAAAAAGATGTGTAAGATTTGGAACTCCAGATCTATGAAATGCAGGGATAAAACCACTGAAATTATTGTAGGATAGATCCAGTTCCACAAGGTTAGTAAGATTTGCAATTGAAGATGGAATTTGTCCATAGAAATTGCTACCCAAAAGATTTAAATTTGTCAAGAACTTGAGATTACCAATTGATTCTGGTAGTTTTCCACTGAAATTTGTAGAAGAAATCGTTAAGATCCGTAAAGCATTGTTTGATGGAAATTCTGGCAACTGACCTCCAAGAGCGTAATTAATTGAAATGTCAATACTTTCTATTTTTGGGAACATGAGAATTTTTGTTGGAAAATGCCCACTCAAATTGCAATCCACTAAACTGAGAGAAACCAAACGAGAGGAAATTTCCAAGAAATTGGGAGGCAAATAAGAGATCGAATTCCCATCAAGGAAAAGTTTGGAAAGAAAAGGAAGTCTTGAGAGTGAAGAACAAAATGGACCTGTCAAACCACAATTCAACAAACTTAACACATGCAGGTTAGGAAGTACTACAGAGGTGGTTTCACACCATTTAGTACTTTGAGTTGAAATGTTCACACTATCCAAGTAGAGCTCCGTAAGAGGTCTTAAATTTTGGATTAATGTCTTGAAGTTTGGGTTTTCTAGTTTCAGAGGTTGTTGAAGGTCAAAAGGTAGTGGATAGTAGTCGAAGAAGTAGTTGTATGGATGGAGAATTTGGTTATACCGTTGATAGCAAAAATCTTGATGAGATAGATCAAGAGAGACTAACCTTGTTAAGTATGAAATCCCCACTGGAATTTGGCCAAGAAAACATGAGTTTGAAAGGTTGAGATGAGTTAAATTTGGGAATCTATCAAACTCATATTGAAACAGAGTTGTATTAAAATTGTTTCCAGCAAGATTAAGGCGTTGAAGATAATGGAGATTGAAAATGGAGTGAAAGCTGCCGGAAAGGTTTTTGTAACTGAGGTCAAGCCCAATCACGTGACCCAGAGCATCACATGTAATTCCTTTCCAAGAGCAACAATCAGTGTTGGGATCCCAAAGCTCAGCTTTGGAAGTGAAAGTAAAATTTGGGGCATAGTACAGATCATGGTGCAATTGCAACAAAGCAGATTTCTGATCATCAAGGCACTGATTTTGAAGATCAGTATGAGGAGGGGAAAAAGATAGCACAAGAGATACAGAGCACGAGAAGAGAAACAAGGTAGGAAAAATGAGTGATATTAGGATATGAAAATTCTTCATGTTTTGTTGGCTCTCTATAAGAAAAAAAATGAAGGGAAGATTGTGGAATTTAAGATTTGCATACACGATATTTATAGACAAGTACTTCATATTACGATTGTTATTGTAGCTATATATCTCCCTTGATCTCAAGAGATAGGTTCAAATGTGTTTTTCCAACCACGTGTTTGTACAAATCATGAGTCTGAACTTTTTTTTGTAAGAGTTGAATCAAAGTAGGTGGAAGACAGATATAGTTATTGCTTGTCCATTTTGAATTTTAAAGAATGAATAATGGGTTTCAATGATGATAAATTTTGCTTTTGTAAATTAATCTTTATCACTATATCCTTTCTTTATTCCCATTTTTTATTTCATATTATGTATTCCTACAAAAAAAATAAATAAAAAATTAATTTTCTCAAAATTAGGTAAATAGTGGTACATAGATATCGGTAGAGAGGAATCCTCTCCAGTACAAAAGAAATAGTAAAAATTATCACTAACCTTGATGTCTAAAGAGAAGTAAAACTTATAAAGATTTATCAGTCAACTCAACTCTGATATTATAGAATTAGATGGAATAATTTTTTTTTGAAAATTTTAACTAATAAGTTTGTTTCTTCTTATTTTTCTTAGATTCAAAGTTTGAATCTCCTTTTGTTCCCTCCATCAACTTCCTCATATTTATCAATTTTTGTTTTCTAAATAAGCATTCAGAGAAAAGAATAATTACTGTAACAATTATTTCTTTATAATACTGTGCGTTATTCATTGGTCTGTAATAGAGTTTAGTCATCATAGCACATTAGATTAATAATTAAGAAAATAGGATATCGTTTAGTCATATGGATACCGTTTGGTGCATTTTTTTTCTTTTGCTGCAAAACCTGTTGTAAAATGGCATCACATGTTGTAAAAATACTGCCCACTTAACCTGAAAATCTATAAACGAAGGCAAAGATGAAAGCATGAAAGAAACATCCAGCTAACAAAGTGAAAGTGCTGATACTGAGTTTTGCTGGTATATAGATGTCAAGTCGGATGAAATAATGGGAGACAGGAGCCTAGCTTTAGACAATGCTTCACATTCCCACCCATTCAATTAGATTTGATTGATTGCTTCTCCCTTGATATTCCGTTTAGGAATGATGATGGATAGAAAATAATTGAATATTTGATATATTATCTGATCTATTTGTGTCTGATTCAAATACTTATAAATACAAATTTAACAGATTCGGATAGAATTTAGATAGTACTATTTGAATATCTAAATCCGTTCAAATTTTAAAGTATATAGTATCAATTATTTGAATCTATTATTTGTTTACGTATATAAAATTTTATTTTCGAATCTTAACAAACATTTACTTATTATTAATTAATAGTGAATTTTATATTTAAATTTAATTCTTGTTGAATTTATATTTTAGCAAAAATTTAACTTAAGTAATTGGATATTTTAAAGGATTCAAAAATGAAACAGGCGATATTTATTTAAATGGTTCATATAAAGATAATGACAGTAAATTTAATTGAATATTTAAATGAATTCACATACCATGAAAATTAAATAGATTTAAATACAAATATCTAAATAATAACATGTATTCACTCTGTTGTTATTCTTACTTCTCTCCATTTATACACATGATAAAACAAATTCGCGAAAGAGTTTTTCACTCTCTAAAATTAGTTAATATATTATTTATTGTAATAATTTTATATTAAATGCAATAGTTGATACCTAATAATTTTCATATTTATAATTTTTAATGTATTGGATGAAGATATTATATTATGTAATAACCTTAGAGTGTGCTTTTAGAGCATTGTTTGCAAAATTATTTTATTAATCTTTGAAAATTCAAAACAGCATATTAATAATTTAATATTGAATTTATCATATATATAGTCCTTTTTATTATTTTTGTTTTTAATATTGTTAAAGAATATTGATTTGAATAGTAAGAACTTAGAATATATAGATTCATATTTTATATTTTACAATGCTTCAAATAAAAATATTAACCAATATTTTTTTTAATGATAATGAACCTTAATATTAATGAATAAGTGAAAGTTACAAACGTGAACATTACAAATATAAAAGGGACAAAATGATTGTGTTTCCATAGAACAAAAATTAATGGGATTTTCCATTAATGAATTAGTCTTCAATTCATCATGCATAGTTTTTCTTTGTCGGTAAAGTCAGAAAAAGGACCTCATTTGGTTAATTTTTGTTTCAATCCCATTGTCAAGCTACACAAGAAATTAATAGTAACTTTTCTTTTCATTTAATTGTTCAAAAGGAAATTTAATTTAAATTATTCAAAATTAAATAATAAGTGTTCAACTTCAATATCTAATTAGACTATATATTTTCCAAATGTCTTCAATCATCACGTCTAAGTTTTTTATTTTTTGTTATTTTTTCCTTATTTTCAATTCATTTTCTAATTAGTAATTAATTATAATCTCACTATCTCATTTTTTTTTATCTATCATTCCCTATTCGAATATTTTAAAATTACCATTTTCGCTTTTTTGAACACAAAATGCTATTATTTTTCCATATGATTATATTCCAAAATCATTTTGATTTTTTTAATTACATTTTTGTATTTAAAACCTCAAAATATAAATTTTATATTATAAATTTATGTTTTTAATATAAAATACACTCATAATAAATTGAAATTTGACACCCCAACGAAATTAAAAAACTAAAAAGAACATTAGAAAATTTATCCATAATATCAAATACAGTCTTACTTTATATTGTTTTAAACTGAATAAGTTTTTTAATTGAAAAAAAAGAAATTAACCAAAGAGATTACATAATTTTCTCACTTTTTAATCCTCTAATTAATTGATGCTTTTGGTTTTTATTTTTTAATAAATGAATTGAAAACCAAAAACAAATAGTAAAAGAAAAAACATACAAACCAAATGAAATCTAAACTATATTTTTTAGTTGAATCTCAAGAATGTAATAATTAATCATCTTAAATAATTAGCAATTATTCACTTTGTGGAATCTTATCTATAAGATTTGAGAAAGTACAACAAAAGTGTCAAGACGTTGATCGTATTATTCAATAGATACCTAAATTTTCAATTATTTGAAAATAATAGGATCTAAATTTTCATTTATTTGAAAATAATAGGATGAAAGAAAAACTTTAGGATTTGAAAATTGTCTTTAATTTTTTTTTCAAAGTCCTTGAATCAATGGAAATTATACTTTATAGAGATCCACTTGTTAATTTTAAAGTTTCTAGATATGTATTTTTGATAAGTTATATAAATTACTAAATTTTCATATCTGGATGTAGGGAAAAAAAATGATGGTGTATCTAGAATCATCCATCATAAAATTATACTTTATAAAACATTTGTTTTTTTTTTTTTTTTTGGACTCACAAAGAAAATGATGGTATGAGATTTTTTTATTGGTCTTTAGACTTCTCTTTGCTTTATATTTTAAGTCTTCTCATCAAGCAAATGTCTAAGTCTTTTTGCCCCCAACATTACTCTATGAAAAATAATATTCTTAGTAGTTTACTTAAGTCAAGTCTGTAATTTAAAAAAGACAAAACAAACAACAATTTTCTCAATTGAAGTTGTTTTCTTGTCTTTTAGTTAAATTGACAGACTAGAAATAAATTTTAAGTATATTAATTATTATTGTTATATTTTGATCTTTTTAATAACTTAGACTACAACAACTGCTAATATTGTTATTTTTGTGAAGTAAAGATGGGGCAAAAAGATTGACACATTTGCATGCTTGATGCCAAGACTAAGTATAAAGCAAAGACTAAGACTTAAACCAATACATTACCATAGTATCTATCATTTTCTTTCTTATTCCACCATTATAAAATCACAATTTCCAAAATAAACAAGTTTAAGAAGTGAGAGAATGAATGTGTTCTTTAGATTTTTTTTTTCAAACTTTTCAGAAAAATAAAACAAAGATTTTTAATATGTTGATTTTTTTTGCCAATCAATTTGTTGATTATATAATTTTTTCTCATGATTTTGTTCCTAATGTACTGTTAGATTTCATGGTGTGCGCATTTTTTGTTTCTTCAATTTTTTATGATTAATATATTTTAAAGAGATCCTCTAATTTAAAATTTCAATAATCCAATAACCATGTAATCTGTTAATAAAATACTAAACTTTTAGTTTCAATAGTTTAAAGTTCAAATCCTAACAAACTCACATACAAAAAAAAAAGATAATCTTCTACTTTCACAAATTTCATGTATACCAGATAATTTATATATATTTCAATTTCTTCACAAATGATTAATAAAGTTTTTAAATTTTATAAACGATATTAGCATCTCATACTTTTGTAACATATTTTCTTTTAACTATTTTTTTCAAACCTAAATGTAACTTTTTTTAATTTATCAGATATGAAAATCCAATAAGTTATATAACTTATTAGAAATGTTTATTCAAAAGTTTTAAAATTAAAACGAGATGGGTAAATAAGTAATATCACTTAAAAAATTATAAAAAAAAATTAAAATGTAGAGAAAAATATGATGGTGCATTTAGAATCACTCATCACAAAATTATACTTTATAACAAAATTGATATTCTAATTTTGGAATCACAAAGAAAATGATAATATGAGATTTTTTATTAGTATTTAGTCTTTTCTTTGCTATATACTTTTAAGTCTTCCCATCATGCAAATATTTAAGTTTTCTTTCCAATTATTACTCTGTGAAGAATAATTTCTTAGCAATTTGCTTAAGTCAAGTCTGTCTTTTAAAAAAGATAAAAAAAACATAGCAATTTTTTTAATGGAGGTTGTCTTTTGTTTTCCAGTTAAATTGGAAGACTAAAAATGGATTTTAAGTATATTAATTATTATTGTTATATTTTAGTCTTTTTAATAACTTAGATTGGAGCAATTGCTAAGATTATTATTTTTGTAAAGCAAAGACGGGGGCAAAAAACTAATACATTTACATGTTTGTTGCCAAAAC